AGGTAGGTATTCACTACATACCCCACTTGGTTATCAAATCTTGGTGAGTTGGCTATGTAATAGCCGCGCGGATATTATGCGAAATCACGTGCTCCTGACTGGGCGCGAGAAACAAAAGACGATTGTTGATTTGTATTGCCGCTGTCACAATGTGTGTTGAAATATTAGTAGCGTCAGATTTTGCCCGATTATTCAGAGGAATATTTTGTAAAAATCAGTGATTAGTTATCATGGGAGGACTAAGAGTAAGAGATAAAATTGAGCTTGTGCGTCTTGGCGGAGATAATGCTCTTTCAGCAAGAGAAGCTGCCAGAGAATTTCATGAAAGACATCCTGATAAACTTCCAGTGAGTAGCAGTCTCGGTAGCAGTACTGTATCGAGGCATATGCTCAAAAACAGAAATAATTCACGTCGTGAGAATAGGAATGATGCGCGAGTATTGCAATATTTTCGGAATAATCCTCATTCAAGCTTGCAAACGGATGCCTTGTAAGTGATAAAATCAAACCATTCAAGCCAAAAGACGGAACCAGGAGATGAGGAACGAAGATTAGAATTCTGTTTCTGGGCTCAAGGAGAATATTTGAATGATAATAACTTCTTGAACGAAATTTTGTTTAGTGACGAAGCTACGTTCACTACAAACGGAGTTGTGTCGTCTCAAAATTCAAGGTACTGGTCTACAGATAATCCTAATTGGATTATCAATGCAAAAAGGCAGAGTATTCTTATAAAATAAATGTGTGGTGTGGAATACTCCATGATAAGATTATCGGCCTTTTTTTTTCGGAGGTAATCTGAATGGAAATATATTTTTGGACTTTTTAAGCAATGAGTTCTGGGACGCAATACATATTTTACCAGTTCATGATCGCCTAAATTTGAAATTTCAATTAGTTTGGCTCTCCTGTACATAACGCACCTTGGTGAGAGAATGGCTGAATGATAATTACAGAAATCGGTGGATTGGTTGGAATAGTCCTTTCATTCACTGGACGCCGAGATCCCCGGACCTGACACCACTGGATTATTTTGTTTGGAGGTATTGTGAAACAAAAAGTCTATAAGTCTAGACCGCAATCAGTAGAAGAACTTCGTATCAGAATATCTGCAGCTTGTGCAGAAATAACGCCAGAACAACTGAGAAAAGTTATATTGAATATGAGAAGAAGATATGATAAATGCGCATTGCACTGAATGGCGGATTGGTTGAAACAACAAGAATTTGATGAATGTTCATTCGTATCTGTAGCTATAATAGTTATTGTTTTCAATTTTGTTTCATTTCTCTCATTTGTCACATAATCATCAATGATTACTTTCTATTTATTTCACTCTTCATCTTATCATATACTCGAATTTACTTATAATACAAACTGGATTTTTAATTTTGTCACGAAATTATTAATATTGAATATTTTTTCAAGAAATTTGGTATACAACCATATGAGGGGGTGCTGAATCCAATGGTGGTTTTAAATTTTTCAAAAAAAAAATCGCCAATACGATTTCTTGATTTTTATCCTCTAAAAATAAACGCAGTAGGCCTTGGATTTTGCCCTCCTAAAGTATGATCTCAGAGTGATGAAGATTTGAGGATCGAAAGTTTCTGCTCGGCTTATTAATACCCACTGCGATAGTTTCGAATATTCCCTCTAATTTCGTCAAATATATGGCGATTTGCAGATCTATTCCACTAGATTTGAACTGTTTCAAGACTCAATGGTCTGGTAATCCCTTACTTCGTATCCCTTCAATAAGCAGATTTCTATTAAATGTATCATTGAATCAAAAATAAGTTACTCATTTCAACTCCGAAATAACTGCCATAATGCTCAAAGTAGAATGAAATGTTGATCAAGCGGAGGAAATAAACAATTGCACCAGGATTCGTTTATACGAAAGTTGTAAATGAATTTGCTCATGCAAAAGCAAGAATAGTATATATAGTGCAACAAGTGGGAATAGTTCAACTTTTCTCACGAGTGTTGTGGCACGAGCCTGAAGGGCGAGTGATGCAAACACCCGAGTGAGGAAAGTGCTTTTCCCCACATGTTGCACACTATACTTTTTCTACAACTGCACATATTCAAAGAATCCGAGTAATGTAGCTTATTGGTATTCATTTCATAATGCGGCACTATGCCACATTGTAATTGTGGCCAAAGAGTAGACGCCTTTCCTAGTTCCTCAAAGTATTTCAACAAGTACACTTTCCGAAAAAGATTTTATTTCTGTATTTTTTTTAGATTCCATAAATTTTTCGTCTATGCCAATTCATACTTTTTTAAATACTGTCTTGAAATTTCCGGAAACAAATCCAACTTTCGCAGCTTCTTCCATTATCTCTGTCTCTGGCGGTGTATTTATCAAAATCGTCACATCTTGGTATATACATCATATTATTTATTATGAATTGTTGGAATAATATTTCATGGAAAATGCGATTTCTATCAAAAGCCCTAATGAATATGAAAAACTTTTTCTGACAGCTGTGACAACTATTCAAAGCTGAACAGCAGCCAAGTTTTGGTCGATTTTTGTTGATTCTCCATGAAAATGTATGTGGTGTTGGCAAAGTGCCGTGACCGAGGCCGTGACAAAAAATATGTCTCACAGTATGAGCAATACATGGTTTTGAAACTAAATTAGCTATGAGAAATACGCTACTTTTCATAGCAGTAGTAGAAAAATAAATCTTTTTGTTGATAATGTCATATTGACGGCTTGTTTTGTTTCAATTGAAAATTTTTTAGTTATGTTATGATCATATATATTTAGAAACATTTTATTTTTCTTTTAATTGTTTTGTTTTCTCATTTCATAATTCATGTTCGTGTTAAAAAAGACAAATAAGGCCAAGGGGGGGGGGCGCAAATTTTGGGTTCAGCTTGGGGCGCAATATACCCTTGATCCGTCTCTGTCTACTACTGTTGTTCATTTAATGAATGTTTGTGAAGATGACTAAGTTTTTGTATTTGATTAAGTCACTTGTTATTTCACCTTTTCTTTTTTCGATATCGGAATGATCGCATCTTTACAATAGTAGTGTAAGTAAATTCTAATTGCCACTGCCATAATTGCAAAATTTATCAAATTATTGGAATAAAAATTGAATCAAGAGTCATTTTTCTTCCATTCTAGCTATGGCCTTGGGTGGTTCGTCAGGAGGAGCCACAATAATGGATCTTCATTCAGGTGCTTTGTCCTTTAATGACAAATTCATTAATGTATACAGTCAACATCAAGATATCAAAATATTAACTCCATCGGATGCAGCTATTTATAATTTTGTTAAAAAAAAGATTCAGGAGGCAATTGCCGAGGCTTTCGAAATAGAGTCCACCAGCTTTCATCTTACACATCCAACATTTTTCTCTAGACTAACAAATGTTGAGCCAACAACTGTACATGATGAGTATTGGCATCAGCATGTCGATAAGGTCAGTAGAAGTGGGAGGGGTGAGAGAAAGGGGAGAAAGAGAAACAGGAGAGCACATTATTCACTTTTCTCCAGATAGTATGAAACATCTCTGATTTCTCAATGAATTGATTAATTAGAATATTGTCAGTCAATGTCTCTTATAGTTAGGTTTACATATATGTTAATCCCGACGTTCTGAATCACTTGACTCCAGTGATTTTGGATTAGGAATAAGACTGAAGTATTGTTGACCTATCAGCCTTCCAAGTATGAGGAAATAGTAACAGGAAGTAATATTTCAGTAAAGGAGCAGCAACAGTTCTAGATCAATACTAGTTATTTATTATACAAGGGAAAAAAGTAGTAGATTTTAGCTCCAGGTTGTGTTGTCTCCCGACGCGTAGCGGAGGGAGACAAAAAACCGTGAGCTAAAATCTAATATTTTTCCCGTGTATAATACACTATTTTTTTCTGTGACAGAAGGAAGGACGAATCAATATTGAGAAGATATTACATTATTTCGAAATGTGAAAATTATCGACGTGAAATTTCAAGTTTTTAACAGTAGGGACACCTGCGTTTTATAGACATCTTTATCATTCTTTTGAAGTAATCAAATATCTGATGTCACTTCTGTCAGTTCAATTCTGTGATTTGATTTAAAAAAATTGCGAATTCAGTAGTTGTTTAGTAATATACGAAACCGCGAAGTCGAATGGAAGATAAAAGGACTTGCAGTTCTTTCTCGGAGACGGTATTATTGACTCATTTTTCGGAACTATAGCACAACAAAAGCCATTAACAGAGTATATATATGTGATATATATCCGGGAAAGAAGTACTCACTTTTTGCCCACGGGAAAAAAGTAATTTATGAAAAGTGACATTTTATAACCTGCCAACAGAGATGAAATGCCAAACTTTTTTCCCGTCACAGAAAAAAGGTCATTTTTCCCCAGATTCCACCGAAATTTACAGTGTTGCCATTCGAAAGCCTCATAAGAGCACGTGTGTTAGAGAGAGATGAAAGATATGATTTTTCCGTAGATCTACCTACTTTTTTAAGGTCCCAAAACGTCAAAATTGGCTCAAAAAGTGGTGGGGGGCCCGGCTAGTCAATCAGAAGGGACCAGGCCCCGCGCGGCCGCGAAGCGTGACGTAGCGACGCAGATTCGCGCGGTGCGGCGTTGTCAGACGTTACAAGAAATCTCGAGATCCTGTTGCATGTGCATGTTGCCATTTTCCGGTGTGGAGAGAGCGCGACGTAGTCGAGGTAGGTCCGCGGTCATCGCGCTGCGCGGCGTTGCCAGACGTTGCAAAAAATCTTGAGATCCTGTTGCATGTGCATGTTGCCATTTCCAGTGTTTTCCACACTTAGCAGATTCGCAATGAGGCATTTGACGTATGACATAATGAAGGATGTCTCGTGGTGCATGTTGCCATTTTCCGGTGTGGAGAGAGCGCGACGTGATCGAGGTAGGTCCGCGGTCACCGCGCTGCGCGGCGTTGCCAGACGTTGCAAAAAATCTCGAGATCCTGTTGCATGTACATGTTGCCATTTCCAGTGTATTCCACACTTAGCAGATTCGCAATGAGGCATTTGACGTATGACATAATAAAGGATGTCTCGTGTTAGAAAAAAACATATACAGTACGTCTCATCGTTAAAGAAAAAAAAAATGGCGGCTGCTTGTCAAATGTCAGGTTATGGAGTCTCCGTGTTAGAAGAAAAATGTAATGCTGTTTGTCAACGCATCAAGATGGCTACCATGACGTCGCATGACAGGTGGGGTCTCTTCAGATGTTTACATAAAAGATTTGCTATACATGGTGTCTCAGGAACATGTTGAAAAACGTATATAGGGTGTCTCATCGTTTAAACATGGCGGATGTTTGTCAACGCATCAAGATGGCAACCATGACTTCACATGACAACTGGCAGGAGGGGTCTCATCAGATGTTTACATGAGAGATGAAAATAAGCACTTCCGGTTTGAAAAAATCAAGAGCATTGAACTACACAATAATGGAACGTCAGGCCTCTTTGGTGGACAGCTGTTTAGCTCATCATTGAAGAGATAGCTGGAGGGGGCGTAATAGGTGACGTATACTTAGAGGATTTTTTCATTAGTTTCTCATTGAAAAGATGGCTATACAGAAGTTCAATACTATACTTTCTCTACACCTATAGGGTGAAGCAAGGTCAAAGTCGAAAACATATACAGAGCGGCTAGAAAAGTATAAGGCGACCGAAAAAAATATACGAGGTGGGTCAAATGACTTTTTCACTTGTAGGCCTCCGATTTCGATAGTTTTCGAGTATGTAGTGTGGTTCAGAGGTACGATTAGGAAAATTATGTTAAAAAGGCATGTTAGATATATTTTTTGAGCTAGAGCATCGAGTGATATGTCAAATCAAATGGTTCGATGTACAGGTCGAGAATCTGAAGTTGTTTCGTATGTAGGTGCTATAGGGAGGCGGGTAATCACGATAATCGTATCTCAAACTCATTTGGTCGAGGAAATAAAACCTGTACAGCATTACTTAGTGCCAATACAATACAAAAGTATCAAAATTTTCCTTATCGCACTCAGATCTATGATTCCTCGAGATCTGAGTGCGATAAGAGATTCAACTACACCAACGGCTTTCTTAGATCTTGTGCAACACTTTGCAACACGAATCACTCCAACCAAGTGTCTAATAAGCTAGCTGGAAGCTGAATCCGGTCTCCACTTCCGATTTCGATAATTTTGGTATCAATGGATTCGTCTCGATGTCAAGATTCATAATTAAGCATTTATCGACGTCAAAAATGTATAGGAAGCTAATTTCTTTGCTATTGAAGATAGCAGACCATGCGGGTACTCTAATGAAACGATTTCTCCCTTAGATGTTGATTATGACTTCAAAATAACGTGATGAGATTCCCAACGATGATGAGCATGACGATGAGCATGAGTGTAAGATGATGACTCACGTTTTCAACGTTTTTCGTTATATGTCAGGTTGGTCGATCGGTTAAAGGCGCCTAAGTTGAACTCCGGTTCCGAAATGATACGTGGGTTCGAATCCCAAACCTGACAATTTTTTGAACGTTTGACCTATGACATTTAACGCTTCCACTCTCGACGTTTGACGTTTTTGACGTTTCGTCGTTTCGACGTTTGACGTTTCTGTGACGTTTTCGACGTTTGACGTTTTCGACATTTGCAACGTTTGACGTTTTCAACGTTTGACGTCTGTGACGTTTGACGTTTCCGACGTTTGCGATGTTTATGACGTTTGATGTTTTGACGTGTTGACGTTTTCGCCGTTTAAATGTTTCTGTATATCTTATCAAGATGTTGTGGACGGAATGGCGTGCAAGAAATGCAAAACTTTTGGTTATTGCGTCTGCGCATGTAAATCGAGACGCAAAAACAGAATACTTGAATGTTTTGTGGCAGTTTTCACATGGCTGCGGCAGAGTATAAACAACAGCTGGAAGAATTCCAGAAGAAATTAAGTGCACTCTACGTGACAATAAAACTTTACGAAGATAAACATTTAATGAATTATGAACAATATATTGTACATGAATGTGCCGAACAAAGTTAGCGAAGCGGGAATTTGCAGGAATCAAAGAGATAAGCTCCAGCATTGTGGGTTAATGTACCAGTACCACCACCGGTCACCTTCAATTTACCCTTGATGGTAATGATGCCTTCAAACATGGCCAACCACGAATCTGCTTGATTAACCGTTATATCGATGACATCATTGTTTCTATATTTGGCGTATACAGAAAATCATATTCTTTCAAAGCCTAGAAAGATGATTAAATCAGCTGAGTTATAGACTAAAATTAACGGATAATAAAGGAAATAATCCTATTATTATTGATTCTCTTATCGTTCCATATGAGATACAAGATACAAGGAACTATCGAAATCACACAAAAAACAGCTGTTCAAGCTGAAACAAGAGTTGTTTTTAGTCCTAGACCTAATATTCAATATCCCACACTAAAAAATATTTCTGCTATACAGGGCGGGTCAGCAAGAAATGTCGCTACCTCGTTTTTCATTTTTGTGACTCTTAGAGTGATTATCATCGTAAAAATGTCAGTCGACCAAAGGCAGTCAGCAAGTCGACCAAGTTTATGATTTCATCACACTACCTACCAGTCATTATACAGGGTTTTTAAATATATATTTTTGTATGCCAAGTTGAGTAGTCATTGTGAGTCTACTCGCCTAGCAGGTGTTGAATAAAAAACGGATAATTTTGACATCATTTATTTTTTAGATATTATACCAACATTTTCAAGTTCAGTAAGAATAAAGGCGATCTCGTTGTTGTTCTTATCTGATTCCATTAAATATCTCAGTCTATCCACCAAGATATTCGGATCTGTCCATTCATCTAAAATATTGTACTCTTCATTCCCAATACTGGCTTCAGGCTCCACGCTCGACTTTGGACGGTTAGGCTTGGTCTTATTTTTGAAGAGGGGTCTGATAATTTTATCGAATTTCTCCTTATCAGCTTGTCCTCGTAATCGCCCTAATCGATCTCTATGAATAGAGCTGATTTCTAGCATCTGTTTATACATCTGGTGATCCAGAGGCGTGTAATTTCGAGGGTTCTTGGAAAATAATAATTCCAAAAGACCCAGAGTACTTTTAAAATCGACATTATCTACGCCTATGTATTGGTCCTCAAAGCGTAGATTCTTATGTCCAAGTGTCCATCTGCCGTCAACATATTTCGGTCCATAAGCATTATCATAATCTGCACAGTGATATTTATCTAATGCTTGCTCTGATGAATGTGGTTTAGACTCCATGATGTGAACGCTATGGTGTCTGATATACAACTGAAGACTCTTGAATACATCTGAAGACATCTGAATACCTCTGAAGACTTCTGAAGACATCTGAATACATCTGAATACCTCTGAAGGCGCGATCTGAAGACTTCTGAAGACATCTGAATACCTCTGAAGGCGTGATCTGAAGACTTCTGAAGACATC